AATAATAATAATAATAATAACAATAATACTGTAATAATAAAATAATAATAAAGAATTACAAGAATGAAAAAAAGATCAAAAGTGAGAAACACGACCTAGATCTATGATTTATTATTATTACTATTATTATAATTTTATTCTATTTTCGCCCCCCCCCCAGACCCCAATGTGGGTCAGTGACTTGTGCCCGGATGGACTAAAAAAAAAAAAAAAAAAAAAAAATTCTGAAAACCGAAAAATTCCAAAATCCGAAATGTCTCTGGCCCCAAGGATTTCGGATAAGGGATTGTCAACCTGTATAGACAAAAATTTTAGTAATCATTTAGTACATTATTTTAAGTACATGTACAGTACAGCTTTGCCCTTAGGACAGTGTGTGCATGTTAAATTATTAAAAATAAATGAAGAAAGTTACATATGTCAAGCCAAAAATATTAGTTTAGTTGAAAAACTTTATGGAGACAGACCTGTGTTGTTTTTAGATTATTCATCCCCTTCGAACGTCACTGTGGGGGATCATCAAGGTCAGATAACGATGCAGGGTAGGATGTGGGCAGCTCAAAGTCACTGCGAGAAGTTGAGGGCATTGGCTGTTCTGCTGACGATGTTGATGCTGAGGTTTTCTTAAAGAACATGGTGATGGGAAGCTGTCTTTGTTATTTCTTAAGCTGCTGGAACATATTCTTATACTGAGCCATGCTTGTACGACCTCGTGAGAAGTTGATACTGCGCTCCATATAGGGGTTATACTCAGACACTAAGTTTTTCAAGTGCTCGGCCACCGGAAACACTTCACTAAACTTGTGTATACAGCTCCTCCCCTACTTACGACCTGCCTCAGTCGTAACAAAATTTTGTCAAATTACGTATTTTCGAGTCCCAACTTCTGTACACAGACAAAATTTTTGTTTGTAATTCCCTTTAAAATGGCTGACAAGCTTAAAAGTGAGAGTTTTGTGGTGCTGAGAAGAAAAAGAGACACCCAATTTAGATTTTCTATGTATTATTTAAGCATTTTCAACTTACGACCTGGATTTGGGTCACTAACCCCGTCGTAAGTCGGGGAGGAACTGTATCCCAACGTGCTGGCTCTTCTTATTCTTCATCATTGTCATCACCACTGCCGTCTTCTTCGTCCGCTCTCACTATTTCCTCCAACTAAGCATCAGTCAGAGTGTCCCTGTGCCCTTCAATTAACTCCTCAATTTCCTGCTCGACCATGTCTTCAAATCCATCACCGCTTACAGCCCTGGCCACCGTCATGATGTGCTTAACTTCAGCGTCAATGGTAGGGAATCCTTTGAAGTCATGCACACTGTCACTCCACAGTGGCCGCCAACACGAATTAACCGACTCTGGTTTCAGTGCAGCCATGGCTTCCTTCACAAAAGTGATGCAATTGGCAATGCCGAATTCCTTCCAGCATGCCATAACACTGTTGTTAGTGCTGTCTTCCATGGCGTTGCGAATGCAGACGAAGGCGAGGCATGTGTACGCTGCCCTAAAGCACTGAATCACGTCCTGGTCGAGAGGATGGAGGTGGTATTGGGTGGATGGAACGTGTGCGAATTTTATGGTATCTGGGTGGCCTGGTGCATTGTCAACGACCAGCAACACCTTGAAAGACAAGCCCACCTTCTCCAGGTAGCTCTTTACCTAGGGATAGAACATTTGTGGAACCACTCAAGGAAAAGCATTGCTGTCACCCAGACTGTCTTGTTTGACTGCCAGTAGACAGGGAGGAGATTCTTATTTTTTCCCTTCAGAGCACAAGGGTTGGCAGACCTATAAATCATGCCTGGCTTTATCATATGCCCTGCTGCGTTGCCACATAGTAGGAGGGTGACGCGGTCCTTCGCAGCCTTTAACCCGGGGGCCTGCTTCTCAGACTTGGATATGTAGGTTCTGGTTGGCATTTTCTTCCAAAACAAACCTGTTTCTTCAGCGTTGAAGACCTGCTCTGGAAGACATCAATATTCCTCAATTTCCTGAATTCATCTGGGAACACCCATGCAGTTGACTCGTCCGCTGATGCTGATTCGCCAGTGATTCTAATATTTTTCAGGTTGAAACGCTTTTTGAAACTGTTGAGCCAACCTGCACTGGCTTTAAAATTCTTCTCAGAGCTGGTGGATGCTTCACCCTGAGGAACCTCAGATTTAAACTGGTCATAAAGACTCAGTGCCTTCTCCCTTAGCATGTTGCCGTCGATGGGGATATGTTTCTGGTTCATATCCTCTACTCGGATGTTTAATGCCTTCTCCACCTTCACTAGAGTTACATCTCTAACCTGGCTAGTTACCTTAGCAGTAAATGAGGCACTTTTAGAGACGGTTTCACGAATTTCCTTCTCCCGAATCTTAATGGACCTCACGCTTGATTCATTGCGGCCTTTCCTCTGTGCCACAGCAGCGACCGACATCCCGCCTTTTATTAAGTCTAAAACGGCCACTTTTTCTTCCAAGGTCATCACAGAGCGTTGTTTCTTTGCTGGAGGACCAGAGGCAGAGGTTGGTTTGTGTTTGGGCATTATGAACGAGTACTTGCAAGAGGTTTAAGCGCAATAAATTGACACACACGAGAGGCAGGTGTTCCTCTGACAATACCCATGCGGCAACTGAAGACAGAGGTGGGATGGCGGGAGTGGAGCTTTGGCGGGCTTATGACCCATTTTGAAAATTTTAAGTTTGAAATTGGAAATTGTAACCTAACCCCCGGGGTAATCCACATATAGTTGAATACCCGTAAGTTCCGAGTCTACTGTATTAATTTTTTAACACTATTTCATTGTGTTTAAATGGTAAAGTTAGTCTATATTCTTGAGGAAATGTATATTAAGGTGATTTAATACTTATGGGCACAAGATAATTCTAGTAACATCCCCATTAGCCAGAACATTTGGTGTAGAACATTTCCACTTTCCAGGTTTGAGAGATATCCCCAGGTATTGAGGTAATTTCTCTTACTATCTGCTGTAGTAGGTGCTGCTAACTGTCACTCTCCTCTCCCTCCATGAAGGAGGTATTATACATGCACTGTATTCTGTACATACACCCTTTGTTGGAAAACAATGTTGAGCTAAACACAACACTGTATTTTACTAGTAGCTACTGCACTGTATATGCATACCAGCTCAGGGAAGTTTCTGTTCATAGACATAATTTAAATCTATTACATCAATGCTGTACACTGCAAATGACAATTACTATTGTAAAAGCAGCAAACCAGTAGTAGTGTCCTCTGAATTACAAATAAATGCAAGTTTGGTTTATTATTATTATTATGTGAATATTATGGGTATAACCGTATATGGTGCAATATCATCTTGAATTGCTTTTTTTTTATAACAGCACTGTAAATATATGAACATTACCGGTATTGAACATGCTGTACCTATCTCGTTTTCCCTTGCAAAAATAATAAAGGGAAGGATGGTCATATACTTAACATCCCCTGTAAAATACACAAAATTTACATTAGTCAGCTACAAATGGACACATTTTGTAACAATGTACAGGGATTCCCATTAACCTTCAGACCCTCGTAAGACCTGCATAACCCGCGACAGGCATATTTCGGTAAAAAAAAATATAAAATAAAACTTTTTAAAAATCCTTTGTCACCTTATAAATATAAGAAAAATACCAGAAGAACGTATTGTACTTGCATTCAACTTTCATTGTAGCATGGGTGGAGTGTTGATGAGCAGTGTCAAGTAATGAAAGATGTCTTTTTTGAAGCTGCTGCTCACAGCCCAGAGCAAGCGGGAAGTGATGTTGACACACACTTGCAACACACAATTCTTACTTGAAGACACTTGTATTTCATATTTCTATTTTATAGCTTCTACAAAACACAAAATATTCCTAGTTTCCTCAAAAGAACTACCGGTATAAATTACTGAACAGTAGGAATATTCAGGTAGCACAAAACTTCTTAATGTACTGTTTTCTTATCACTATTTTCAAATATATACACTATTTACATATCCTGAATTTAGAACTTCTTGATCTATGCAAGTCTTTGAAACACAATATGCACAAGGCAATTCTGTACTCCTTGCACCAATCGTAACATCTTTACACCTTGGTTCACGCCTGGTTGTGTTACTGCACCCGTAGCACTTCCAGTGGCCCTTTGATTTGGCACCCACAGGTGGCAAATCCTTCAGGAAGTGGTGAGAAATAAAATCCTGGGCTAGAAAGCTGTCGGGAACTACTAGTCGCATGATGTCTTGGTGCAGCAGGTTGCAGCACACCATAAGTCTGCAAGATTGTAGTGGATTCCTCCCCTACAAACGCTGTTTGTCGCTGAGTAGCTGACCCCGCGAATTCTCCAGTGTATGCCTCGTGGTCTAGGTCAACCAGCGCCGCCTTACATGACGGAGGTCAACTATTAAGCCACGCCTACCTCCGCTATATAAGACCTGACCTCGTGGTGACCTGGCTCTCTCTGTTTCTACCCAGTGCCACCAGCAAGCAACACCCCCTCCTCCTCCGAGCCAGCCTGGCGGCTGCTGCTCCCGCCAGCGACATTGGTGTCCCTCAAGCCGCGTGTCCCTCCTCTGGGCACCCTCACCACCCAGCTCTCTCTACTCAATGCTTATTACCATGCTACCTACCCAGCAACAAGCTGCATTGTACATCCAATACAATATGTATACAGTGAGCACATTGTGAGTTTCCTTTCTCCATCCCATCCTGAGTGTGAAGCAATATCTCATAATCCTACAAATGGTGACCCCGGAGTGATGCACTCACACAGGATGGAGCTGAAACTGATCACTCTCCCAGTCTTCAAGCAACATGGAAGACTGGCTTATCCACACAGAAGCAGCTCTCATCGGCTCTACAGCTACTGTCTCTACACCACAGGTTAGACACCCTAGAGCAGCTCTGCTACTCTAAGCAGACAGCCGCTCTTCTTCCTGCCCCAAGCACCACATCCTACCGACCCCAACACACCCGTCCTGCCTCAGACGCTGCCCCCGGCCCAGCAGTACATCCTGCCGCTTCTCCTGATGCAGCCCCTGCTCCCGACGCGGCCCATGCGCCTGACCCAGGCCCACACACCCCAGCAGGCGCATCTGAGGACTCTGTACCTGCCGCGAGGGAAGCTCAACATTCATCGCCTCCACAACCCTCCTTCTCCCTCTTTTCTCCCACAGATCTCGTGTATATAGACAGAGTTGCCCCCCTAGCGGTCAGCTCATCCACGCCCTCGCCGTTATGTCTCACATGTGGCATGCATCGCCCGTTCTGCCTCACATGTGGCACGCAACCCTGCCAACCTCCAGCCTCCCGCCGCGCCCGGAGGGGAAGGGGAGTATTGTAGTGGATTCCTCCCCTACAAGCACCGAACCTTCTCCAATTCCCCAGTCTACGCCTCCAGCGCCGCACACGGAGCGGGGGTCAACTATCTACCCACGCCTACCCCCGCCTTATAGGGCCTGACAACGCAGTAACCAGCCTCTCTCTTTTTCTACACAGTGCCACTAGCAAGCAACATCTCCGCCTCCGCTCCTGCCTGGCGGCCCTCGCTCCCGCTGGCGACCATGGCGACCCGCAAGCTGGTCCTCCTCTGAGCATCCTCACCAACCAGCTCTCTCTACATCACGCTTGTAACCACGCTGCCACTTCCCAGCACCAAGCTGCACTGTACATCCAATACAATATGTATACAGAGAGCACATTGTGAGTTTCCCTTCTCCATCCCATCCTGAGTGTGAAACAAAAATCTCGAAACCCCACAATTGGTGAACCCCGGAGATTCGCACTCACACAGGATGGAGGAGAAATAACATCTCGTACCCCACAAATGGTGACCCCCGGAGATTCGCACTCACACAGGATGGAGGAGAAACCGATCACTCTCCCAGTCTTCAAGCAACATGGAAGACTGGCTTATCCACACAGAGGCAGCTCTCATCGGCTCTACAGCTACTCACTCTACACCGCAGGTTAGACACCCTAGAGCAGCTCTGCTTCTCTAAGCAGACACCAGCTCCTCTTCCTGCCCCAAGCACCACGTCCAACCGACCCCAGCTGGCGCATCTGAGGACTCTGTACCTGCCGAGGGAAGCACAGCATTCATCACCCCCACACACTGTTTTTTTTTCCCCTCAGGCACTCCCTGCTATTGTCCTGCACCCTGCTGCTGTCGTGGACCCTGCTGCTGTTGTAGAACCTGCTCCTATCATAGACCCTCCTCCTGACGTCGCCCCTGACCCAGTCATCCCAGCCAGTGACCATGAGGACGCTGCCCCTGCAGCGACAGAAGCACAACATTCATCGCCCCCACACACCCTTTTTCTCCCTCTCTTCTCCCACAGATCTCGTGTGTCTAGACAGTTCTCTCCTCTAGCGGCCGGCTCATCCACGCCCTCGCCGTTATGTCTCACATGTGGCATGCACCGCCCGTTCTGCCTCATATGTGGGATGCCATCCTGCAGACAACAAGTCTCCTACACCGCCTGGAGGGAAAGGGGGAGTATTGTAGTGGATTCCTCCCCTACAAATGCTGTTTGTTGCTGAGTAGCCGACCCTGCAAATTCCCCAGTGTATACCTCATGGTCTAGGTCAACCAGCGCCTCCTCACATGACGGAGGTCAACTATTAAGCCACACCTACCTCCGCTATATAAGACCTGACCTCATGGTGACCTGGCTCTCTCTGTTTCTACCCAGTGCCACCAGCAAGCAACACCCCCTTCCTCCTCCGCGCCAGCCTGGCGGCTGCCGCTCCCTCTAGCGACCTTGGCGTCCCTCAAGCCGCGTGTCCCTCCTCTGGGCACCCTCACCACCCAGCTCTCTCTACTCAATGCTTATTACTATGCTACCTACCCAGCAACAAGCTGCATTGTACATCCAATACAATATGTATACAGTGAGCACATTGTGAGTTTCCTTTCTCCTTCCCATCCTGAGTGTGAACCAATATCTCATAACCCTACAATACAGTGCAGGAATTATTATGAAACATGAAGAAGGCATTAGAACCAATGCACTCTGTAAAGAAAATGGCATGTCATCATCGACTGCCTCTACAATCTGCTGTTTGATATGTAAACAAAGCTGCCGGTAATATGACATACACAGTACACACCTCAAAGTAAGTTAAAATACAGTGTTACCGCCACAGTAAGATAAACATGAGAGAGAGAGAGAGAGAGAGAGAGAGAGAGGTTGAGATGTTACCGCCACAGTAAGATAAACATGAGAGAGAGAGAGAGGGTGAGAAGGGGGGGCAGTGATGACAACGTGTTTGTTGGTCGTCTAATATAAAACAGATGCCCTCGCCTAGGGCTGCGATTGGATGGCGATTGCTCAGTAGTCTACCAATTCTTGCAGAAGAAACAACACGCTGGTCGAACCCAAGACCCTAAAACGTAAATATAAACTCTAAATAACTTTAATAAGTATATTTATGTACTGTAATTTGATCATATTATACAACTTGTCTCCTGATGTATCAACAGATGTAACATGTGAGTTATACTTAAGATGTTAACAGGCTATATACTGTATATTGA